GTAGACAATTGAACGTAGTAATATTTCTTGACTTTTTTTCATTAAGCAAGAGATATTGTTATAATTATAGATGTCTTTAAATTATATTAAAATGCATAGTAAAAATTACTATCTTGACTGTTTTAAGTGTATAGTTCATTGGCATTGAGTGCATTTGCATTGTTGGGGTACCATGACCACCATCACCCCATCTTACAGTTGAAACTCTTGCGGAGGTGAAACTCGGCCCGTTAAACAATGACTTCCCATTCTCACGGCCCCTCAGTCCCTGGCAGCCACCATTTTGCTTTCTGTCTCTGACTTTGACTACTCTGTGTTCTTCATATAAGTGGAATTATACAGTATTTGTGTTCTTTAATTGGTTTCTTTCATTTAGCATAATAGTCTAGAGGTCAACTATGTTGTAGTATTCATCAGAAAATCACTCCTTTTTGAGGCTGAATGATATTCCATTGTTTGTACGTGCCTCTTGAGAGGGAGACTGTGCAAAGCGCCCGACCTTCAGAAGCGCCGAAGTCATGCAAGAGCGGCAAAGACTGAGTAACTGACAGATTGTAGTGCAGCAAGAGACAAAATGAAAACTAAATGCAACATGATATCTTGGATAGGATCCTGAAACAGAAAAAAGGATGATTATGGAAAAGTTGGTGAAATCCAAATGAAATCTGTGGTTTAGTGCTGTACCAATATTACATACTTAGTATTGATAAATGTGCCATGGCTTCGTAAGATGCTAAGATTAGGAACTGGGTGTAACTCTTCTGTAAATCTAAAATTATTTCAAAATACAGTTGTTTTGTTTTTTAAGGTCTCTCTTTACTGCTGGACAATGTACTCTGGAAAAGATTGTCTCCCCTAAAAAAGTACTTCTGCCCTCTTAAATCCAAGAGATCCTTTTGCCCAGAGGGGTAGAGCCCATTGAGATCTTTTGAACCAGAGACTTGGTGCAGTTGGGAGACAGATGCTATGGATGGATGAGGCAGTATAGACCTGGCCATGGCAAGGCCATAAAAGATGTGATCTGAGGTCTTGGGTACCAATGGCAAGAGATTAGACCTGAAGAATCAGAGAACTGAGTGGACCTTGCTTTGGAATGGATGGCCCAAAAGTAAGTCCAACCTTAAAATGTAAAAGAGCCATTCAAGGATGATTTGGCAAAACACAACAGCCCAACACAAAGTGTTGGAGACAAAGTCACCTTAAAGCCATCAGAGGTATTATCTGCCACTCATAAGCATCCTCCAAAAGAAGACATAAATGAAAGACCATGGGAACAATGTCTTCTGTTGGAATAGGAAGCCTTATACAGTCGAAGATGATTCTGGATGAATTGAGAATATCTGAGAAGCCCCTGAAGTTATCATATGTCTAGATATTCCTTATAGGAAATAAGATTCAGAAGGCTTAAGTGAGTATCCTGAAGACAGAGGGGTTCAAAATGGTTAGGGCTAGTGTATAAAAAAGCTTACTAATCATTCAGAGAGAACAAAGAGTATTCAAATCAGATCCCTCCTGCATGCTAATATAATGTGACTAGTTATATCTGTGCCCTAGATAACAGTTTAATCATTCCTTCTGGTTCTCTTTGGTAAATTGGAACCCAAAAGTGTCTATAGTTAATAAAAATTTTCTTGAATGGATGGACCATCTGGTTACAATTTCTGTTTCAATTATCTGTTATGCAACTGGCATCCAAATAAGGACCTTCTCCAAATATGAGTAGGCTGAGTCAGTTATAAACAAGCAAAAAGGAGTTTTACTTTTTATTGCTAGTATCCAAGATGTTAGAAGATAAAGTATTTAATGAAATGGTGCTGCTGTTAGGTAAACTTCATTATCTTGTGTGGGCAGGTGACTTTCTTGTCAAGAAAATGGCAAGATAGGAAATATTTTTGGTCTTTCTTGTATAGGACAAGATAGGAAATATTTTTGGCTTTGCAGCCACATGTGGTCTCTGTTGCATATTCGTCATTGTTTTAAATTTTTTTTTAAAGACTGTGTTTTCTAGAGCCATCCTGTTGAGGGCCACGTTGCAAATAAACATCCTGCTCACCAGTCAGTACACCAGGGGTTGGAAAAACCACGCTAGGCAAACAACTTGCATCAAGGTCAGAACTGAAATATGTTAGTGTAGATGATTTAGCCCAAGAAGGGCAGATGGATGATGGTTATGATGAAGAGTATGGCTGTCCCATTTTTAGATGAAGATAAGAGTAGTGGATGAGTTAGAAAACTAAATGACTGAAGGTGGAATTCTTGTGGATTAACACAGTTGTGATTTCTTCCATGAACTCTGGTGTCATGTAGCTTTTGTGCTGAAAGCAGATAACAGCATTATACAAAAGACTTGAAACAAAGGGTTTATAATGAGAAGAAACTAAAAGGTGATGTTCAGTGTGAAACTTTTCAAGTTCTTTTTGAAGAAGCATGAGCATTCTGCAAGGGAGATACAGTGAGTGCATCAGCTGCCCAGCAACAAACCAGATCTCTAGGGGGACAACATCAATCAGATATGTAAGTGGCTTGAGCAGTGGATCGAAGATCATAGCTCTTGACTTGCAAAACTGGCCTCTTTATAATCAATCATTCTTACTGTTTCTCTTCCAACATCAGATAGATTGTCCAATTATCAGTAAAACTTTTCTTTTTTACTAAAATTGTGCTGCAGAACTAATAGGTAAATAGTATAATAATTTATGTTTGGATTTTTTTCCCATTAGAAAGCTAAATAATCTCAAGTATAATGAATATAATATTATTAACGATTGAGAATAGAAAATGTCATTATTTAATACTTCAACAGCTAGAGAATAAATAATCTGACCAAATGGGTAGAAGGATAGCTTTTGATTTTTTTACAGAAGAAAATGAACATGATCTCTTAAAATAAAACTAAAGTCTAAAATTTTAAAAAATAACATGTTTTCTGTCTTTTACCATATTTTCACACCTTGTGATAGTTTGGAGACCGATGTTAAATAGTAATCTCCTTAAGTTTCTGGCTATGGATTTATTGTATGAGCAAAAGATTTCATATTTATGAGTTTAATGGATTTATAAGAAAATGGAATTTATAGTTCATCTCTTACTGCAGGCTTTTCAGCACATTCATGTGAGATAGTCTCCAACAAATATGACACTTACAAAACTCATTGTTACCTCAAAATTTGTTAACTACAAATTAAGTACCTACTTTTCAATTTAAATGATTTAACACGTTTTGTTTCTAAATAGGCTAATTTTAGAGTACTTTCATCTTTTAACACTAAAAGTGACTATCTGGTTTTTGAGATTCAATTTAATTTGTTTTCTTATTTAACCCATTAGCTGCTTACTTTTCACATCGTTTCGTTGCTATAAATTGTCTCTAAAGCTACATTCTCAGTTTCACAGAGTCTCACTTTTCTTTTTTCCGCCACATTACTGTTTCTGCCTCTGCTTTCCAGTTGGGCCGTGGTTTTTCCCTGTCTCTGCGCCAGGCCAGCCTTCACGAGACCCCAGCAGGTGGCCTGCGGGGTTACCACCACATTCTTGGGATCACTGTGGAACACACATCCTCCAGCCCCTCAAAGGCTAACTAAACTAACCAGCTGGATGATATGCTGCTGATTTCAGGGATATATTTTGCCTACTTCACATAGTTTTTCTGAGAAGGTAGATAAAACACACATTTAAGCATTTGAGCTTTTATTTCTTTTGTTCACAATTTTAGTAATATGCTGTGAAATGAGTTCCCCCAAATTGCTCATTCAAGGCCTTTGTCACATTTGGCTAAAGAACGCTTAATCCAGCTGGCAGCCTGCTTCAGTGGGACGTCTGATGGAAACTTAGTGTGTGTGTTTCAGGCTTGGGTTTCTCGGAACTTCTCCAACAATGCTTGGATCTCCTAATATCTTCTAAAATCTGTTTTACCAAGATAAATTTCAAAGGAAGCAGAAACAAGAAAGCAGTAGTGAGGTTTTTAATCAATACTATTTAACAATCAATTGAAATAAAAAGGTTTTTTTCTTGTTCAATAGAGAGTTCATTGGGTTTTATTAGCTTTTCTTGTTTCGATTAATAATGCTTTTTATCCCTAATAGTTTTCTTTTTGTAGATACTTGGATTCTGTAAAAATGAAACTCTGTTTCATAACCAATCACAGTTTCTTAAATGGCATACTTTTATTTAGTGATGGTCAGTTCCCCGGTAGAAATTTATTCTCTCCTAAGCAGTGTCCAATAATATGACCATGTCAACTAGAAGAAAGGGAAATTTAATATGACTATAAAGATAAAACATTGCCATATGATTTCTTTACAAGTCTCTTTAAGTTCAGTATTTAACTTCTAAAAACATATCTATTTTTATGCATTCTCATGATGTATTTCAGTGTTTTAAAGTATATTTGGGAGTTTTGAGTTGTAAATACGAGACAGTATCATCTATATAATCTCACCATCCCTTTTTGGAGGAGAAAACATGGGTATTTATGCTATATGCTAATTTGGAGTCTGAGTAAGCTGGTGAGTCAGAGGGGTGTGTGTTGAGTAAGCTGTCGGTTTCTAATGGAGCCATTCTCACTGTTCTCCTCATAGATCAGCTGTCAGGTTGGTGCTTTTCTGCTCTGTTCTTTTGAGTCGGACTGGACTCTGGAAAGGAATGCTTTCACCAGATTAGTGCTGGGGCCCTCTGGTCCTCCTCTTAGTCTGCTTCGTCTGCATCATGGCAGCTGCATTATGCCCTTCTCGTGGCCCTGCAAGGGAAGGGGGGGGTGCGCACACGTGTGCACAGCAGTCTCTGTCAGTATGCATTATGAGGTTTCTCAAGCACCTGGAATGAGATCTTTCTCCGGAAAACTCGAATTTTTCAAGGCCAGCACACATGGGAAAAGTGTTTCTATGCTTAGTCTTATAACTGGGATTGTTTTTGTCGTATGGGGTCAGAAGAAATTTAAGCCATGAGACATAGTTATGATCTGCCTCTGCATTTACCTGCCCTTGCTTTTTGAACTCTTTCAGGCAGCAGTACCTGTCCAAAGATCACCATAGTTCCACTCTCTGTGAAAAGCAGCACAAGCACGCTCATTGATCAGAATGTATCTGATGAAGAGGCTCAGGGAATAAATGGAAAAACTCCAGCAAAACACTCAGCTGCAAGTCCAAAGCCACAAGGTATGCTGATCAGGGTTCTTTGAACAGGTTGGGTACTTTGTTCATTAGTGAAGGCGACCCAGAAGAATGATGACCACTAAGGAAGAGTTTTAACTTATAAATGGGAGGCGCTGGGTGCACTTATTTTTTCAGGCGAAAAGTCATTCCGTGAGCCTTCTCACACAGTTGGGTATTTGCTGTGGGCCTAAAACACTTTATACATTTGTCTGTCATGGTTCTTTGCATGCTTCAGGAATTGTGTACATGTCCCCTTCACGGGCCTGTGGTCTGTTCATGCATTATGCCCGACTTAGTGCAGGGCCTAACTTACCATTTGCATAATAAGTGAGTAGCAGAGGAATGTGTTTAGAAGTGCTGTCAACAGTCGTTACAATTTGCTAGATGTCAGAGGATCTGTGGAACAGACCCTTCTGAAACAGTACTTAACGCGCTTAGTGAGAAGGTGATTTTACAATGTTAAGGAACCTGGGCTTGAAAAGCCTTCTTGGTAAAGTCATCCATAGAAATGAAATATAAATAGTTCAAGAATGGAGTAGCTGACAAGTGGTAAAACAGTTACAATGGTGAACTTGTTCAGTGACCATTTCTGTTTATAAATAAATTTCTACTGAACTGGGTATTGATTTTGAGAAGCACAAAATTATAACTTTGATGATGTAATATAAAGGTAAATTCCACTGTGGTCTAATGTATAATTTCTTTCTAATAGATTTTTATTTACACTGAACGATCAACATTCAGCCAAGAAACAAACTGGGCATTTGTAAAATTACTATTCTTTGGAAAAATCTATTTCTATGTGGTTTATTTTGTATTTACTTTGGTCTCTTTCATGTTCTTGCAAAGAAAAAAAGTGTTACAGAGAATGCATTGTGAAAGAGCTGATGGTATTCTTTAAAGTTCTTATGTTTTAAGGACTTCTGAAAGAGGCCCTTAAGTAGGATTTAAAATAGAGTCTCCCAAATTATGGAATATGTTTCTTTTGTTTTCACTACTCTTCCTATTGGTGGTGGTATGCAGTATGGCTATAAAGCAAGTTAAAAAATTGGTGATTCAAATGAATAGCCTGCTTATAACCATTTCTTTTGGCTATACTCATCCTTGCAACATTGACATGAATATGAACATAAAATTTTTTTTTAAGATTTTATTTATTTATCTTTAGAGGGGAAGGGGAGAAGGAAAGAGGGAGAGAAACATCAATGTATGGTTGCCTTTTGTGCATCCCCTGCTGGGGACTGGCCTGCAGGGAACCGGCCTGCAACCCAAGCACGTGCCCTGACTGGGAATCGAACCGCGATCGTGTGGTTCGCAGGCCTGTGCTCAATCCACTGAGCTACACCAGCCAGGTTGAACATAAAAATTTTTGACCATGATTTAATTAAACCATTTATTTGCAAAGTATAAAATTCCATCTTGCTTACTGAACCTGAGCTGACAAAGATTAAATGGGGTAAGAATATAAAAAGTGACTATAATTTAATTTTATATAATTGCCCAGATCAAAGCAAAAATTTCATTATTTATAAAGCCTTTTTTGGAAGCATCGTTGCATTACTTCATTGTTTTTCATGGTTCACTGAGATAAATTATAGCAGTGTCCTTCCTGAGCTACTGTGTGCTGAAATAGTCATATCCTTTAGGGAGACAACATTTAACCTTGTTTTTGCTATTTGTAGTTATATGAAAGTCAAGGTGTTACTACTTAAATACATATACTATATGATCTCACCTGTAAGTGGAATCTAATCAACAAAACAAACAAGCAAGCAAAATACAACCAGAGGCACTGAAATAAAGAACAAACTGACAATAGCCAGAAGGGAGGTAAGGGGAGAGAAGAGAAAGGATTGTCAAGGAACAGTATAAAGGACGTACAAAGGACCCATGGACAAAGCCGAAGGGGGGAGGGTTGAGGGTGGGGTGGAAGAAAGTGGTGGCAGGAAAATGGAAGCAATTGTACCTGAATAACAATTTAAAAAAAAGAAACAATAAAATGTATGTAAGCAAGACAGAAGATTGAGACGATTAAAAAAATACATATATACATACATACATACATACATATTTACTTCCTACCTCAAATGAGTGTTAATATATACAATGTTATCTAACTCCAGATACAGTCATGTGCTGCGTAAGATGTGGATACATTCTGAGAAATGCATCATTAGGTGATGTCATTGTTTTGCACACATTATAGAACATTACACAAACCTAGACGGTCTAGCCCACTGCACACCCAGGCCTATTGCTTCTAGGCTGAGGCCTGTACAGCAAGCATGTTACTGTACAAAGCAGCACAAGAGTAAATCAGGCACAAGGGAAAATGATAGTGAAGAGACATGGCAAACAGGAGCCTGCAGCATAACATGACACACTGGTCTTTTCTTCTGCTGTTGTTGTTCTATGGCATACTGTTTTACAGCAATCTTTTTATGAGTAAGAAGAGTGTAACTCAACATAATGATAAAAAGTATCATAAGTATATAAACCAGTAACAGTTGTTATATTATTAACAGTGGTTTATATTACCTTACATTATAATAAAGTTATTTATTGTAATACCAAGCATTATGTACTATACATAATTGCATGTGCTGTGCTTCATACAACCCACAGTGCAGGTTTGTTTACACCAAGCATCACCTAGGATGGCTACAGTCACTAGACAATGTGAATTTTTCAGCTCCATTATCATCTTTTTTAAACAAAGATTTTGTTTATTTTTTAGAGAAAGGGAAAGGAAGACAGAAGGAGAGAGAGGGAAACATCAATATGCAAGAGAAACATCAGTTGGTTGCCTCTTGCATATGCCACCACCAGGAATCAAACTGGCAGCCTCTGAGTTTGCGGGGTGATGGCCCCACCCACTGGGCCACACCAGTCAGGGCACCATTATAATCTTAAAAGGAACCACAGTCGTATATTTGGTCCTTCATTGACCAAAATGTTGTTACACTGTTAATGACTGTACTCAGTAAACTACATAAAGTCTTTATACTTCTTTTTAAAAATATTCTCACTTTCTTTGGCTGTTCCCAGCACACGCCCCCACCACCAAGTTAAAATTTTAACCCCACCCTCAACTCTGACATTTCGTGTTTCCCCATCCCTACTTTTCCCCCTCATTCATTACAATCTGACCTGCTCCAGAGGTGCAGGAGTTTACTCCGTGGGAGTTTACTCATGCACGGTGAATGTTCCCCTGCCTTTTGCAGTATTGCGTGCTCGTGCCTAAGACACTGCACAGTAGGTCTTCAGCAGTGATGCTTGCTGAATGGATGCCTGCCTCATCACGTTTCTTCCACTTTCTCTGCTTCTGCTGTTTTTTGTTTACAGCCTAGAATGTGTGTCAGATAGAGACCAACATCCCTGAAGCGAGGATGTATCTTAGTATTGTGAGACCAGCTGCCAGCTAGACTGGGCACTGCTTATTGACTTACTGATCAGTAATCAGTGTTCTCCACCCTTTCCATTTCTCCAAATCCTTTAGGACATCTGGGTGACCAAGGCTCAGAAAAGAAAGGGATGCTAATGAGCACTTCTGTGCAGATGAAAGGATTATCACATTTGTTACCAAGCCGGGTGTGATCCAGCTGCCTGCTGCCAAACACAAGCATAAAACAGATTGGTGGGGAAGGAAAAAGGTCTTCATTAAAATGTAGCCCAATTTGGAGAAGCGGGCAACTCCATGACTCTCTAGGCCAGTCTCTTCCACAACACACAGAAAGAACCCCCAGCCACCCCCAGAACCAGAGCCCGTGTCCAGAAACCCGCTCCATCTTTATCCGTCTTTCTGGGGCCCAAGGTTTTAGGCAAATGCACTCCAGCTTCAGGCTTCTTTCTGGGAGTGTGCGCTTATGGGGCCACCATTGCCTCACTGCAGTTTCTTTCCTCTCCTGCAGCTGGTGCCACTGCCAGGCCACTGCAGCAGGCTGTGGATGGAGCCCTGTGCCCAAGGCTGCTTGTGCCCCTGGGGCTGGTGAGCTTTCTGGACCAAGTGTCTGTGCGCTGATCTCAGAATGAGACAGGGCACAGTCCGGAACCTGTGCCAATGTCCTGCGGGCCACCATCAGGGCACAAGGCCCAGTATGGGACTCACCTTTGGTATGAGCCAAACCCTGACTGGGCAAGTGAGGGGCAGCAGAAGGGGCTAAAAAAAAAAACCCACCCCATCTCTGCCCTTCCTCCGTTGAAATCTTTGGCCCCCAAAGTTCCATGAGTTCCCGGAGCTTTCGCTTCCCAGCCAATCCAGGCTTGGCTGGCAGGTCTGCACCTCCCCCTGACCTCTGAGCAGGGCTTTCACCTTCACCCATCAGCCTGCGATTATGGTTTGTTTTACTCTCTACCTGTGGTTTTGTTTCTTGCAATCCCTCCTTCGGAGGATCCAAGGCTTGCAGCCCAGGCTGCAGGGATCCCTTCTGTCTCCCCAGCGATCTGGCCGGATCCTTTGTGTCACACTGACACCTGTGGTTTCACTATGTTGCAAATCCCTTACAAGTTATGAATGATGATGAGGCTGCTGAGGCTTCCAGATCCATTATGCCAATTTAACTTAATTAAAGACTCTTAGTATAGATCAGAGGTTCTCACTTGGGGACAATCCCCCCATTGGTATTGTCTGGAGACTTTTTTGTTTGATACCGCTTGTGGGAGTTGCTGCTGGCCTCTACTAAACAGGCTGGCTGCTGCTCAGGGGGCTACAAGGCACACCAGTCCCCACACTTCTGCCCCATAGAATTATTCAACTTGAAATGTCAATAGTTTGTGAAACTCTCATCCAGATCCTAAAAACAGCTCGAAATTAAGTCTTGCTTGTTTGTTTCTCCTGTGGAATGCTAATAAGATCATAGCTATAATTTATTTTGGTGATTTTCAAAAGTAGAAACAATATTGAATAGCTTTATTGCTGGTGTCTGCAGTCTATGTAGCAGTGTGTCTGGAACAACATCAGGTTTATGTTTATTAATTACCAATAAGCAAATGTTTTTAAAGAA